ACAGGCTCAGGGTGCCCCGGAGCTCTCCTGGATGTTTTGCTGGCATCCATCCCTCCAGTACAAGGGTTTTCTACCTGCTACTGGGGACACAGGAAACCAAACAGAAGTGGGGCAAGCACAGAGGAAAAAAGAGGAAGGAAGAAAAGAAGAGACAGGGAGGAAGAGAAAAACAGGGAGGGAAAAGACCAAGAATCCTTGCCTGAGCATTGCTCCTAACGATCTTGTTCTGAGCTCGGTGTTTATTTACACCACTGTAAAATTCAGCTAATGATGCACTTATTTGGTTACAACTCAATAAAAGGTTCAGGACTCGAGACCTCTGGACTTGGTGAGCTTCCATTCGGGGATGTGCTCGTGGGTGCATGGGAGTGGGTATGCACGTGTGTGTACAAGTGCATGCGTGTAAGGAGTGGGTATGCACGTGTGTGTACAAGTGCATGCGTGCAAGGAGTGGGTATGCATGTGTACAAGTGCACGTAAGGAGTGGGTATGCACCTGTGTGTACAAGTGCACGTGCGTAAGAAGTGGGTATGCACGTGTGTACAAGTGCACGCGTGTAAGGAGTGGGTGTGCACGTGTACAAGTGCACACGTGTAAGCATGCACACGTGTGCAGCTGGCTGAGCACCGGCCCGGTGCGCCGAGCGCCAGCATGGATCACCGACCGATGCGGGCTGCGAGGCCCGCACGTCCGGGTGGGGTCCTCCATGGGGGCCCAGCGCGGCCCGACCCGGGATGGTCTGGGGTCTCTGGGGCAGGGACGTGTCTCAAGATGTGTCAGTGGCGGGGGGAGCCCCTCCGGCTGTTCTGGAGCTCTAGGTGAAGGACGGGTCCGGGAGCCAACGGTGGAGCCCACGGGTCTTTGGGGTGAGCGCGGGGGGTGGGTGGCGACCTGACCTCAGGCGTCTTTAGGGCGAGCCTGAAGGTCGTGACCTGACCTCGAAGGTCAGCAGCGAGAGCCAAAGGGTAGCGGATGGGGATGGCGGGTGCGGGGGTGATCTGGGCGAGCTCGGGGGTCTCGGTCGGGCGTCGGTCAGAGAGATAGGCCAGGGGCTGGGGGTCGGGGGTCTTCGGGGCGAGCCAGGGGGTCGCGACCTGACCTCGGGGGTGAGCAGGGAGCGCCAAGGGGCTGCGGTCGGGAATCGAGGGTGGTGTTCGGGGCGAGCTGGGGGTTCGCAGTCGGGCGTCGGTCAGCGACATGGGCCAGGGAGGGGGTCGGGGTCGGGGGTGTTCGGGGCGAGGCCGGGGGTCAGCAGGGAAAACCAAGGGGTGACGGCCGGGAATTGGGGGTGGGGCGTGTTCAGGGCGAGTCCTGGGGTCGCGACCTGACCTCGGAGATCAGCAGAGAAAACCAAGGAGTGACGGCCGGAAATCGGGGGTGGGGCGTGTTCGGGGCGAGCTCGGGGTCGCGGTCGGGCGTCGGTCAGCGAGATGGGCCAGGGGCTCGGGGTCGGGGGTGTTCGGGGCGAGCCCGGGGGTGACAACCGGACCTCGGAGGTCAGCGGGGCGAGCCTCTTTCAGCGGTTTGGAAGGAGCCCGGGCGCGGGGACCCAGCGACGCCCGGCCTTTTTCTGTCCGCTGCGCGCGCCTGGGCCCCACGCTGACCTTGACAAGGTCACGGTGGCGGCCGAGCCCCCCC